ATCACACAGTCCTTAGTCATCGCCTGTCGTCCTCATGAAGAAGCCAAATGGGACTTGGAGTTTCTGCGTCGACTTCCGAAGGGTTAATGAGGTCAGTAAAAAAGATGTGCACTCCCTGCCGCGAATCGATGACATTCTCGTCGTGCTTCAGGGATCAAAATACTTCACCACACTTGATCTAACATCAGGCTACTGGCAAGTGGGTATCAAGGAGGAAGATAAGTGAAAGACCGCATTTGCCTGTGCACCCGGCCTCTACGAATTCAACGTTGTCCCGTTCGGCCTGTGCAATGTCCCTGCCACATTCCAGAGAATGATTAACAAAGTCGTCAATGGCTTCCTCTGGAGGGTTTGTTTGACCTACTTGGACGACATTGTATTTTCTCCAAAACCATGGGAACTCATTTGGAAGATTTAAAAAGTGTTTTTTCAACGTTGGACTCAGCAAATTTGCGATTGAAGCCCGAAAAATGTAGCTTCGCCCATCAGGAAATTAAATATCTCGGACACATACTCACAGGCGAAAGCAACCGGCCAGACCCAGACAAAGTATCAGCCATCGAAAAATTCTCCTAGCCACGAAATAAAAAGGGTGTGCAAAGTTTTCTCGGAATTTGCAACTACTATCAGCGTTTCATCAATGATTTTTCTCACATTTCTCAGCCTCTGACAAACTTAACTAAAAAGAATGTTCCTTTCGTCTGGGATGCGGCTTTCGAAGCCATGATGCAATCCCTTAAAGAGAAGCTGATCACAGCTCCAGCTTTGCGTCAGTTGGAGCCGGGTAAGCCAATAGAGGTGCACACTGATGCCGGCAAATACGGCGTTGGCGCCGCCCTTGTTCGAAAAATTGGAGCTCAAAAACAAGTCATCGCCTATGCCAGTCGCCACCTTAACAAGGCTGAGATGAACTACAGCACGACTTAAAAGGAATGCCTCGCCGTCGTGTACACCGTCATGCACGCCGTACATCTTTGGCGCTCAATTCACTGCCATAACTGACCAAGCGAGCCTGGCTTGGCTGATGAAAGTAAGGAATCCAAACGGTCGTCTCATGCGCTGGTCACTATTGCTTCAGGAATTCGGCAATAACTTTGCGACACCACCCTGGCCTCAAGAATGGAAACGCTGGCCCGCTGTCCCGCCTTCCTCACTATCCCGCACCGGTAAGCAAAGAAAACCTTTTATTGTTGCAGGTCCGGGATCAGCAAAAAGGAGAGGGCAGACCCTTGGATGAGAGATATTGTACAGCACCTCGAGCACCCGAATGCCCCCGTATCATGAAAACTAGAAGAACGGCACGGAGCTTCCGGTTGATCGACGGTGTACTGTATCAGAGGGCGAAAGGCTTCCAGGAAGATCGCGCGGCGCTCATGGTCCCTAAGTGCTTGAGGTCCGAGATTTTAAGACACTGCCATGACGACGGCACGGCAGGCCACTTGGACGTCAAGCGCATATGGGAAAAAGTGCGTTCCCGCTATTTCTGGCCGAAGAGGTTCTCGTTCGTCAGCAAGTATGTACTCTCCTTTCCTGACTGCCAGACGCGAAAGCAACCACCTGGAAGGCCGGCCGGTTTTCTCCAACTAATCTTACTTGCAGGTAGACCCTTTCAACAAGTGGGCATAAACTTTATTGGACCTTTCACTAAGTTCAAATCAGGGAACCGCTACAGTGTCGTGATTACTGACTACCACAAAAAATGGGTCGAGGCTGTCGCATGTCAGGCGGCTACTGCCACAGAGGCAGCAAGGGCGCTCGTCGAACAGGTTGTACTGCGTCACGGTGTACCGGAGAAAATAATAAGTGATCGCGTACAACATTTTGTCGCCAACAAGACTGCGGAAATTAGCGAACATGCCACCTCAACCGCATACCACCCACAGGCCAACGGCTCGTGCGAGCGTTTTAACCGCACGTTGGCTGACATGCTCAGCATGTACGTTTTCTCGCACCACCCCGACTGGGGTGGATATTTGCCGTACGTCCTCCTTGCGTACAATTCTTCCACTCACGAGACGACCGGATTCACGCCCTTCTTTCTGCTTCACGGACATGTGCCGATGCTACCTGTAGATGTTGGGTCGGGCGCGCAACGTGCATTCGACTACACCCTGAATGCTATCAAAGTGGCTCGACGACTCCGGCAGGCTCGAAGACTGGTAAAATAACGAGAGAGGCGTCAGCAGGAGAAGAACAAACGCAGCCATGATGCTAAACGAAGGAGTGTTGTTTACCTCGAGGGCGAATCGGTGTACTTGTGGACACCCTCCCAGGTCAAAAGGAAGACAACCAAGCTTCTTCACAGATACCACGGACCTTTCCGTCTCGTCCGCCGGGTAGCCGCGAATAACTGGGAGGTGGTAGGCCAAACTGGAAGAAAACGTGACGTTGCTGATGTGGAGTGTTTAAAACCATGCCGCGTCTGAGGCTCTTCCGATGCCGACGACGCAGACGATGAATCTGGTGATAATCAGTAGGTGCGCGATCGAAGTAGTGATATGCGCGGGTGCCGTGCAAAGAGTGATATCTGTGAACAACGTCAAGGTGGTTACGTGCGCGGGTGCAGTGCGAACAGTGATGAACAGGAATTGAATCCAAGTGTTGTGCGCGAGTGTGGTTCGCGAGTGGGCCAAGAACTCCGTTTGCGACATGGCGTGCGTGGGACAGAGGCCAGCGTTCCAGTAAAACAGCGCGAAGGCTCCGACACTGACACTGAACTTTACACCGGCTGGGAGACATTTTCAAGTGGTAACAACGCACGACAGAATGCTGGCGCTTATGACACGGACACTGACTTGTATTACAGCGCCGACGAGTGAACTCCCTATATTTCTGTTTCCGAATATTTTTTTTGCTTTTCATTTGCGGTTTTAAATATGTCTTTGTTTTAACCTTTTCACCTTTTGGACACGTGTATAAGCATCTTTATATAACCCCCTCACATTCTTGTTGAATATAAAACTTTTTTGTGTTTTTAGTCTATTTGTTTTCGCGTTTTGCAGATAAAACGAGTGGGTCACTCTTTTTCGCAGCGGAGAGGAAGGCAATGTCTCACGGGAAGCTTTTTTTCTTTTTCAGCTGCAGCTGGAGTTCTTTCTTCGCCAGATGCTCTTGTTAGAGGCACTATTTAACGACTTTTCTCGAGGAGGGAGCCTCGAGGGAGAATGAGAGTCTGAGGGAAAAAAAAGTTGCATCCGGTCGGTCACTGTGCGCCCCGCGCCCCAAACAAACCAGACACTGCGCCGTGCTCCCGACCGGGCTGCTGAAATTAGGTGCCTTTCTCCTTTTCTAACCTCTACCACCACCCCCGCAAACGAGTGAGCCGCCGCTTGGGTCCTCCGAGGTCATCAGGGGCCGAAATTTGAACAGTTGTTAGTGCGTCAAGGCTGTTTTAGAGATTGTGCCAGCTGCTACAGTTTTGTTGCGAGGCAGGACCCTCGCGACCATAAAAACTCGTATTGGGATTGCTTATCCTCGGCTTGCTTGATTGGTCCGTATAAGCCGTTTTCTAAGTGGTGCAAAACAGTGGTGTTCCGCGTGGTCCACGCACCCTTGTATGCCGGGAAACCCTATTTAGGTAGCGACTCGGGCCCTTTTTGGAGAGAGCGGACTAGGAGTCAACAGCGCGTCTCACCAGTGGAGACCATGGTCATGCCAGCCGAGGAGTATGCCATCATTTTCCATGTTTTGTTTTTGTGACTTAGTGCATTGTGTAAATTTAAGTTGTATTAAATAAATAAACCGCCAATGAGTGCTCCTCGAAATAATCGTGTCGACTTGTCATCATTTGCCTGTGCGCAATTGCTCCCACACTTCTTCGTCTGGATAGTCTTCATATGTGTCTAGCTTAAACAACCGCGAAGTTTCGCTACAATATTGCCACGTTCCTTCCTCAAGCTTTTTATCACCCCGTTACGCTGTACGCGATTCTCAGCGCAAAGCACGCTTACAGTGTTCGAGAAGCTTCAGGGCTGCAGTATATCATTTTATGAAGACTACGCCCACTTAAATCGTATTTCAGATTATTCTGGAACCTAAGTCACCACTAGCGATAACGCTAGAATGTTTGATGGCAAGCGTATAAATGCCGGCGCACGCCGGCATCACCTGGTGCTTCAAGCTGACCGTAAGGGAGAGACGGGAGAGGGAGTGGCGTCATGTCCGAGAGTTCATGAGCGTCACCCGTGGTACTCGTGAAGAAGAAGGACGGGACTCCACGTTTTTGTGTCGATTACCGCCGCTTGAACAAAATAACAAAGGACGTGTACCCTCTCCCACGTATAGACGACGCACTGTACAGTCTCAACAACGCGAAGTACTTTTCTTTGATGGACCTCAAAACGGCTATTGGCAAATCGAGGTTGACGAGAGAGATCGAGAAAAGACGGCCTTTATCACACCAGACGGCCTCTTCGAGTTTAAGGTCATGCAATTTGGTCTTTGCTCCGTGCCTGCGACGTTCCAGCGCGTTGTGAACACCGTACTGGCTAGATTGAAATGGAAGACTTGCCATGTGTATTTGCATGACGTCCTCCAGCTTCGACGAGGATCTCCGGCGACTTGATGCGGTACTTCAAGCTATCAACACCTCAGGACTAACATTGAAGCCACAAAAGTGTCGCTTCGCGTGCGCAGAGCTGGTTTTCCTGGGACACATGATATGCAAGTCTGGAGTCCATCCAAAACCGCGGAAAACCACCGCCATCACTGATTTTTTGCAGTAAACTTACAAGAAGGCTGTACGCAGATTATTCGAATTGTGCTCCTATTACAGACATTTCGTCAAACGTTTTCACAGATCGCCGCACCACTTACTCACCTCACGAAAAGCAACGTCGAGTTTAGGTGGGAAGTAGTACAAGAGAAAGCACTTCAGGAACATTAACTCCGTCTAGACTCCACCGATACTTGCTCATATCGATGAATGGGCCGAAACAGAAGTACACACCGACGCAAGCATCGTAAGACTCAGCGCCGTCCTTGTTCAAAGGGCTTGCGGCATGGAAAAAGTTATCAGTTATGCTAGCCAGTCGCTCTTCAAGGCCAAAGCCAATGATTCCACAACAAAAAAGAAGTGCCTTGCCATCATCTGGGCAGCGTCAAAGTTTCGGCCCTTCCTATACAGCAGGCCTTTCAAAGTTGTGAGCGACCACCTCGTTTTGTGTTGGCTAGCTAATTTGAAAGACCCTTCAGGTTGCTTCTCATGTTGGAGTCACACATTTCGAGAATTGGACGTGACTGTCGTTTACAAGTCTGGAAGAAAACACTTTGACGCTGACGGCTTGTCATGTGCCCCCGTCGAACAACCACCGCCCGATGGCTTGAATGTGGACAGCTTCTTAGGAACAATAACTGCCGACGACTTCACCGAGCAACAGCGAGCTGACCCGAAACACAAAAGCTTTAATATCTCGAGGGTAACAGCGCGACTGTTCCGAATGTTTTCAAGAGGGCACTGGAGTCGTTCTTCTTGCGAAACGGAGTTCTTCTAAATAAAAATTCTCGTCCATTAGAGCCAACCACCTTTTCGTGCTTCCTTCAGCAGTAAGACCAGAAGTACTAGAGGCCCTACACAATAACCTAACGGTGGGACACATCGGTGTTTTTCGTAGCCTAGAAAGAATACAGGAAAAGTACTATACTGGCCACGACTTGCCACTGACATCACTCATTACGTTAGAACCTGCCGCGACTGTCAGCGACGAAAGACACTGCCGACTAGACTAGCCGGACTTCTCCAGCCCATCGAGCCACCTCACCGGCTGTTCCAGCAAATCAGCATGGTCTTAAGGAGCCGTTTCCGATGTGGATTTCCGGAAACAAATGGATCATCGCATCTTCTGACTACCTCACACACTACGTCGAGACAAAAGCCCTGCCCAAAGGAAGTATCTATGAGGTAGCAAGGTTCTTCGTCGATAACATCGTCCTGCATCACGGAGCTTTGCAGGCCCTTATTACTGACAGAGGTATGGCCTTTACGGCGGACCTAACTAAGGTGATTCTTAGGTACAGCCAGACAAGTCAACGCCGGACCACCACCTACCATCAACAGACCAACAGCCTCACCGAACGTCTTAATAAGACCATTAGTGATATGCTGGCCATGTACGTCCACCTCGAGCTCAAGACGTGGGTTGAAATCCTTCTGTACGTAGCCTTCCCGTACAATACGGCTTTCCAAGAAACGATGCAGATGACGCCGTAAGGGTTGGTCTAAGGAAGAAACCCGGCAACGATGCTCGACGCTATTTTACTTAACATCAGCGGCGAAGAAAACATCGACATGACTGGCATCAAAGAAGCTCGACGAAGCTCCCGCCTCCACATCAAAAATCAAGAGACGACCATCAGCCACGATTACAATCTTCGGCGACACTTCTTGGAATATCAGCCCGGTGAACGTGTTTTAGTATAGATGCCGATACACCGACGAGGAATCAATACACCGACGAGGAGCAAAACTTAAAAAAAGGCATGCTTAGATAACAATAAATATAGTTTAGCCTGGTGCATATTAATTTGCCTGAAGTATGTCTGTCTTTCATACTTTTTAATGTGTAATGGTAAATAAAGTTTTAACCTTTTTTGCTCATTTTCTTAGAACATGAATTTTGGCGACTTCTCTCATTTGTTTCTTCTGTTAAGTAACCTAGGACAGCTACAGCTTTTAAATGTGCGATTGAAGCTAAATTTGCATAAAAAGCAATGCTGCAAGCATATTTTCAATGTGCAGTCAAATAGCTTTTATTTTAACTTGCAAAGTTTCTTATTTTTAACTTAGTGTAGACCATGAATTCGTTAGTGCTGTAAATTGAGAACTAGTTGCTCGATTCCAAATCAGCTTGCAGCGTTGCACTTCTTCAGCTTTCTGCTATAAATATATGCATTGGTACCAATGTTATGTTACAAAAATAATTTGTCAATAATTCGGCAAGCAATAGAATGTTACTACTAATTTTTTCTGAAAATAATTGACCTCGTTAAAATATAACTGGACAGTTATTAATAGCTCAAGAAACTGGACAAGACAGTGCAGTTTCATCTAATTTAGCCTAGAAATAATTATATGTTAATGCTAAAAGGCAATAATAAAGGGATAAATTACATGGCTGCAAAATCGGCCTCTCAGTTGATCAGTGAACTTAAAGTAAGACTAGTGTACGTAAGTACCAAATTCTTAGGCCGGTCGAAATACTTTGGTAAAGACGAATCCTGCATAAACTTTTTTTCTTGATTACTACAAGTCAGAATCTTGCCACTTGGTATGTAGTTAGGAGACCTCCTTGATTTCAGAAATTATTTTTATTGAAATGACCAGGGCACTTTGGACATGATTTCTCTTGTATCTCTAATACTCCCAAATTGGCGTATGATTTTACGTTGTTGCAATGCCTTTCTATCGTTTACTCTAAGCTTTATTCGAAATTATTATGGGTCACTGTTGCTAGTAATTCTGTTTTTTCATCGTGTTATTTATTTTTCAGTTCCTGTTCATTTCTCTCGTTGAATAAGATTTGATGTGTGCTGTGGCAAACTCATTAAACTGTACGTTTGGGAGAAGCAGAAGTTTGACAAGCTGCTTCTCAGCCTTTTTTTCCCAGCGCCATTCGTCTTCTTGGTAAAAAATAAATGACTTATTGTAGTATTTGTAATGATAATAATAATATTCTTAGTAATATTACATTTTATTATTATTACTCAAAAATGTTTGATCAAATATCTTAATACGGAAATACCTGAAACATTTAGTGTAATTTAATAACATTGAAGGTTCGAACGCGCAGAGCACTGCTCTTGCGAGAAAAATACTAAGCAGCTGCGTTTGTTAGTTTTGAAACAATAAATATTTTTTTGTAATAGACCCAAGCATACTTTACAAGGTTTCTGCCGCTGACGTATTTCCTTCATTTTCAATTAAAACGCTCGAATACTGTTGATTATGCGCTTTTAAAATTAGAGCTCATCGAATAAATACGGGTTCTCGGAAATTTCGGCGGCGAGTCAGTCTTTATTGATAGGAATAGGAAGGAAAGACACGCCTGAGACAGTTAATGAAGAAGACACAACTCAGACGAGCGTTGATTTCAAACTGAATTCACTTGACACCAAAATACCTTGGAAATGGTATATACTTGTGATATGACACATCTGTGCGCAAACAGAAATAGTGGTGCTTCGTTTGTCAAGCAAGTGTTTGTCGTTGTATTTTTGCCCATTTATCCAAAAACACAGAGCGTCATACATAATTAAAGGAGATGAATTACGGCAGAGAAGAAGCCGTTCCGTTTTCTCTCGTGGCTTCTGACGCTCTAGCACGGGTCGATTATCGCGTTGATAGGTGGGTTAATATTTCTATGAAATGTTACTTGTCGTTTTTGCTTATAATAGAAAAAATTATGAAATGATAATCACCCGCAAATATTCTAACTCCGCCCTTATTTGTTGTAGGTCGCGTCTGCAGCGACATACTGCTTATACTGCCTTGCAATGAATCCAGCCGTTCAGAAGAAAGCCAGAGAGGAAGTTATGTCCGTTCTCCCGACCCCTGGGAGAGGTGAAATGAAATTCAAGTATACCGAACTTTCTTACCTTAAGGCCTGCATTCGCGAATCACTTCGGTAAGTCTTACTGTGCCGGCAGTATTGCTTGGCTATTATGAACAGCTCGCTCAATTGCAAGCATTCAAGTTACAGTCACCAAAATTTCAAAGAGGCTCAAGTCGACATTCAGGAGATAGCACGCATACTAAGAAGTATGTTGTGACTGGTGTATGATACTGCATTGTATGAATACTACAGACATGTTAGGAGGAAGTAAAAGTCTATCTCACTCTGTGTTGAAATAACAGTGACTGCTACAATTTCCGCGGTTACTTATTTCAAATAAAATGAATATATGTGAAGCGACCGACTCATAGTTTCTTTGATGGACTTCCATGCATTTGTAAAGGTGTAGCTCTTCCATATCGGTTAGTTGTGATCTTGTACGACCCCGGTAAAATGTGCTAACAACTCTTAGTTCCACGAAAACTGATCGGTGTGCAAGGTTGCATTTGGGGAAAGACAATACCGAAATTTCGCAAGAGCTGCATGTATGTAAGAGCAAGACCGGTATTTACCTGATGGGAACACGCTAGATGGATAATAAAATATTTCGCGGTTCACACAAAAATGCACGTGCTCAATCATAACGTAACTATCTCAAGCACACCGCGCATGTGATTCCGTGGGCGCTCGGCCTACTACCCAATTTTTTTTGTTAGTAGGCCGGCATTCGCTATGCTATTTTTCGTCATTTTTCTGAGATGCGTTGTATCCGCTAAACACTTCAGAGGAATTTTGTGCGAAATGTTTATGCAGTGGCTGACGACGATGACCAGTTATGGCCGAAGTGGGTATGCACGGAAGTTAATAGGAGTATAATAACCAGCTTTTGTAATGTGTTCGAGCATAGGACGTCCACTCGTTACGCTATTCGCATTGTGCGACGATTGGTTGTTATTTCGCTATTTTAAAATGCTCTATACGTCGAATTAACGTGATTTCGCTATCCCGACATCAAGCATGTCTAAGGCAAGTTTGCCAACAAGTCACAAGCACCGGCGTAGCTCAGTGGTCGAATACTTGACTCGCACCCAGCGGACCCGGATCAAGCCCTACTGTGTCTTTGGTGCTAGGTCTGCTAACAAGTCACAAGCACCGGCGTAGCTCAGTGGTCGAATACTTGACTCGCACCCAGCGGACCCGGGTTCAAGCCCTACTGTGTCTTTCGTGCTAGGTCTGCTAACAAGTCACAAGCACCAGCGTAGCTGAGTGGTGGAATACTGGACTCGCACCCCGTGGACCCGGGTTCAAGCCCTACTGTGTCTTTGGTGCTAGGTCTGCTAACAAGTCACAAGCACCGGCGTAGCTCAGTGGTGGAATACTTGACTCGCACCCAGCGGACCTGGGTTTAAGCCCTACTGTGTCTTTGGTGCTAGGTCTGCTAACAAGTCACAAGCACCGGCGTAGCTCAGTGGTCGAATACTTGGCTCGCACCCAGCGGACCCGGGTTCAAGCCCTACTGTGTCTTTGGTGCTAGGTCTGCTAACAAGTCACAAGCACCGGCGTAGCTCAGTGGTAGAATACTGGACTCGCACCCAGTGGACCCGGGTTCAAGCCCTACTGTGTCTTTGGTGCTAGGTCTGCTAACAAGTCCCAAGCACCAGCGTAGCTCAGTGGTAGAATACTGGACTTGCACCCAGTGGACCCGGGTTCAAGCCCTACTGTGTCTCTGGTGCTAGGTCTGCTAACAAGTCACAAGCACCGCCGTAGCTCAGTGGTAGAATACTGGACTCGCACCCAGCGGACCTGGGTTCAAGCCCTACTGTGTCTTTGGTGCTAGGTCTGCTAACAAGTCATAAGCTCCAACGTAGCTCAGTGGTCGAATACTTGACTCGCTCCAGCAGATCCGTCTCGTCGCGACCGCCGAAGAGAGCAGACGTGTTTTTCTGTCGGTCCCCGACCGGTTTTCCTGGAGGAGCACGCGAGCGTCTAGTGAGGCGCCGTACCTTACGGGCGCTTCCATGCTTCCATTTTTTTTTCTCCCCCAGTTTTTTATTTTGATAGCTTTTGCGCACACCCGTGCGCCGTTTTAATTTTTTCTTCCCTCCCTTGTCCTATTGAGCCATTTTTTGTCTCAAGCCCTGTTCAGGGCTATCAAGATATTGAGGAAATGTAGAGCCCTCTCATCTCCCCTTAGTTCTTTTTTTTTAATCTGTAATGACCTCGCCTAGTACGGCCCATCGCCTCTACCAGTAATGACGGACACCCCTTCTAAGGACGCTCCTGACGAGATCACCCTCTGCGCGAGCCTGCATGCTACCGCAACGAGCCGCCCCAGCTCACCCAAACAATCGCCTGCGGCCCCGATGATTACCCGAGCTCGTAAACTGAAGGCTGCTGCCAATCGTCTTCAAAAGCACTCATCTACCAGCACCCCAACTTCTCGGCCCCATGTACGAAGGATCGGGAAACTGTTGCCACCACGCCGGCGTCAGGCACCAACAATCAAGGCCGCCACCACGAAAAGCGCGAAGCTAACGGCCGCAGCCGAGGAGGCCGCCGCCGCCATTTCCTTAGTACCACAGCCTTCCCAACTCCATCTTGTACCCACACTACAAGAGGGAAGCAAGGCTGAGCTGCAGGACTACCAAGAATCGGTCGCATCAACACCGGCAGACAGCGAGGAACAGGCCAGTACCGATTCCTCCTCGCCCACATCATCCTCCTCTTGGGAGCACAACACGCCTCCGTCCTCCTCTCCGTCCCTGTCGCCCTCCCCAAAGGGTCTGGCCCTTTTCAGAATCGGAATCTGCGCTGACGGACCAGGCCGCCAACGAGCAACACAACAGGCGTCGTTTGCAGCTCCCCCCAAGCGAGCGCGCGCTCACTCTGCGCCGCCGGCAACCACTTTCTGCCCTTGCCTGCTGGCCGGGCAAGCCTGCCGCGCCGGGCGTCAAGAAGACCTGTTCGGAGAGGGGTGTGCACGCAGTGCTGTCTCTCCCCTTTTTCCAGGCGAAGGAACGCGCATGACCTCTACTGGAAGGGCAACCGAGGCAACATTGGAGTCTCTTGCGCAAGCGGGAGCCTCCCAGACCGCCACAGGAAATCCCACCCTCCTCGAGCCTTCCCCACCTTCTTCCGGTCACGCAACCCGTCCGACCCGTCCTCCAGAGAGAGCGGCCTCTCCGGTGTCTGATGGGGTGGTTTGTTTACCTCCCACCTCCTCGCCACAACAACAGCACTCTCCTCCACTCTCCCGCTCAAAGGAGAGCACGGGCGCGTCGTCTGCTACGGCCGCAGCTCCTCTGAACTCTGCCGCTAGCACCGCGCCACACCCTCCTTCTGCTTTCGGCCCCATGCGCCCACTGACGGTGGACGCCTCTACCGAAGCAGATTATGAAGAGGCCCGACGCAAGCATCAGCAGAAAAACGGATTTCCGTGCCAGGCATCAACAGCTACAAATGCCCCTTCCAGTAGGCAGCCAGCCAGGGCAGCTCCCCCAAGCTAGGGAAAGGGGCCCCGCCAGAAACCAGGTCGCCGCCAGCACCAACTCGATATTATCGAACACCTGGTCGCGAATGAGCCCCGCCGCACCTCTGCCACCATCCTCTACCGCCCCAAGGGCAGGAAGAACAACTTCCTCTCCCTCAGCCGCGACGCAATTGCAGCACAGCTCTCGAAGGTGCCCGGCACGAAGCGTGTGCGCATTAACTTCAGCGGCAACGTTGTTGCGGTTGACACCACACCCGGAGCTGACACCTCCGCTCTCCTGGCAGTGGAAAGCATCGGGAATGTGGCTGTCAACGCCAAGACCGCCAACAAAGGAACCTGTACCGGCGTACTTCACGGCGTTGACGCGGCTTTTGACGAGGAGGTCCTCAAAAACAACATAGAGAGCTCTGCTCCCATCCTCTCTTGTGCCCGTACCGGACGCAATGTCCTTCTCCGATTTGTGGGTAACGCACCGCCACCTGAGGTGGCGTTATTTAAGCAGACCCGCCCTGTACGTTGTCGTCGTCGCCGCCCTCTCCAGTGCGCTGGCTGTGGCGCTTTCGGACACACTCATGCGACGTGCACCAGCTCCCCACGCTGTTCGCGCTGTGGCGGCGACCACGCCCGCGCCGACTGCGTTGCACCCGGCCCCAAGTGCCTACACTGCGGCGGCCCACATCCCGCCATCGAGCCCCGATGCCCTCGCTGGCAACACGAGAGGAAGGTGCTAGAAATCATGGCCTCTGCGGACCCGCCCCTCTCTCGTCGTGAGGCCGAGAGGAACCTTAAGAGCGAGGGAAAAGCCGTGCCTGCTCGAGCACCGTGCACTGGTAGTGCAACCGGGCCGGACGTACAGCGCGGTTGTTTCGCCCCCGGCCGCCGAACCCTCGGCCCCCGACTGCGAGGTGCAAAAGGACATGGTGATTAGTGCCCTGGCCGCTGCCGTGCAGGCCCTCATTGGGACAATACCGCAATCCGGCCCTGTGTTCGAGCTGTGCAACGCGGCCCTGGCCGCCCACGCTGCCCTCAATCAACATGGCTAGCGGCAAGGTGTTTCGGCCGCGGATTCTTCAATGGAACGTTCGTTCCCTCCGCTGCCGTCACGCCGAGCTGTCTACCCAACTCCTCCGACGCGAGTACGACGTCTTGCTGCTGCAGGAAACCTACGCTCGCGTCGGAACACTCAACCTACCTGGTTTTGTCGGCTATCACAGCACCACGCAGTGCGAACTTGAAGAGTGTAGCGCAGTCCGGTGCAGCACTCCCTCGCATCCTCCCGGCACGTCGCGGGCTTCGGTTTATGTGCGCGCCGACCTCCCTCACGCTGCAGTGGACATCGAGGACATTCTCTGTGACACCCTCGAGGCCGTCGCCCTGACTGTGCGCATCGGGAGCACGGACACCAGTGTCGCTAGCGTGTACGTGCGCACATCGAACTACTCGGCACGCTTGGACACCCAATTCGTGTGCCGCCTCGCAGACCGCCTAAATCGCGACGCGGTCATCGGTGGCGACTTTAACTCTCACCACACCTCCTGGGGCAGTGGCGTGACGAACCACCGTGGGCGCGACCTTCTCGATG